GCCTCAGCGTGGTTTGATGAGCAGTGCCATGTCTGCGCCCAGGATTCGAACCAACGAAACACTGGGCTGCCTGCAGCGGAATGAACGAACTTAACCACTCAGCCAGAAATTTCTTTTTTAAAAGCCATACTATGAAGTCAATAAAAAATACGTTTTAAAACTATTTTTTGATCTCAATGATTTGAAGTTAGTATTTTTTTTTTGAGGAAGATTAGCCCTTAGCTAACTGCTGCCAATCCTCCTCTTTTTGCTGAGGAAGACTGGCCCTGAGCTAACATCCATGCCCATCTTCCTCTGCTTTCTATGTGGGACACCTACCACAGCATGGCATGCCAAGCAGTGCCATGTCTGCACCCAGGATGCGAACTGATGAACCCTAGGCCTCCGAAGTGGAATGTGCGCACTTAACTGCCGTGCCACTGGTCTGGCCCCTGAAGTTAGTATTTTCTATTTGACATCCTTAGTTTGCAAGCCTTGAGTCTTTTTTTCCAATCTTGAAAGTCCCCATCTGCCAAATTATTCACGGATCAGTCCGTCTGTGAGTTCACTGGATGACTCAGGGAATGAGTGAAATTCCGTGTGTTTACAGCAAGACAGCACTGCTCAGTTGTCACTAATAACATCTTTGTGTGTACTTTTCTTTCCTTCAGGTTTATTGGGCCATTCTAATGTGCCTCACTTCTCCAAAGTTTTGATTATGCTTCCTAAGCCATCCAAAATTTTTTTCTTACTTTCAGGGGATAGGAAAGAGAGAAGAAAAAATATAGGCCAAAATAGATCAGCATGATGATGGACAGAGAGTGGGAAAGGCTGAAGAGAAGTAGAGAAAGATGTAATGGGAAGGTTGAAGTTGGTGCTCTGTCTGCATCTTTTCAGAAGAACAGAGTGAAATCTTAAAAAATCAGGAGAGCGCTAAAACTCCTACTCCCAACAGGCACAGTATACCTATTATCAGTTTTAGTCATGTATGGTTTTGTTTTTCAGGACTCTATAGGGCAGAAACTGCCGAGCATTTCTTTAGTGGCTCCTGTAGTTGTGGAGCATGGAAGTGTTCGTCACTGCTGAGCGTACTGTGGGCTGGGTGTTGGGGTCCCATTCACTGGGGCACACAGGTGTTGGGGGACGTAGAGGTAAACAAGGCAGGTCCAGTCTTTGCCCTCAAGGGGTTTATATTTGGAGTGGCAGCAATCAACATGGATGCAAATAATTCAGATAACTGCAGAAGTGTATAAGCGCTACTAAGAGCGTGAGCTAGGATATTGTGTAACTGGGGAGTGTTCTTTTAGTTATAATGGTCAGGAAGGCCTCCAGGTGGAGATGATATTTGAGATGAAACCTTAAAAATGAGAAAGAGGGAGGCATGGGAAGGTTTAGGGGAAGAATGTTCCTTAGTCACAGACTCTGCTGGGCACTCACTAAAGACTCTTTGATTAGCGACTCGTCACTGTCTTTCATCTACTTTTTCATGGTCTTGGTTTTAGCTGCCTAAACACATGACCTACATTTTCTCTCTTGGGGACTTTTTGGGACATTTTTCTCACAGGGATCCCTTAGTTATCAATGAAAAGAACAGACTTTTTATACATTTCAAATGCCAGGCAATATGTTAATCATTTTTGTAAAAGTTTCCTGAAGAATGTTTAGTATTCCCTTTTGTACAGATGAGGAAACTGAAGCTCAGAGAGGTTAAATAATTTTTCCGAGTCACCCAGTCTTGGACTAAAAATCTCAACCTCTCTCTTTTTAAAGCCAGAACAAAAACTCTTTTTGCTAATACTGTAGATTTCTCTGGTGCTGAAGATGCAGCAGCATCTGCTGCCCTGGAAACAGCCTGAGGATATCAAGGGAATTCCTGGCTTTGTGAATTTCAGCCAATCCCAAGATTCAGTTCTTCTCATCAGATTTTTCTATAAAGTAAAACTGCATATGAGCTTCAGTTTTTAATGATGATCTTCTACACCACAGAACACCTAACAAAGCCAGAGATCCTTCTCATTCCATGGCTTCTCTCTTAATCTTTCAACAAGAGACCTAGAGACCTGTTACATTTAATCACGTAGAGGAGATTCACCTAGTTCCTATTTTATGACTCAGAAAACTGAGGCTTAGGGAGGTGAAGGCCCAAGGTCACAGTTATTTGAATTCACTGTACCTGCCCTTATGAAGAACCTATGCCCTCTGTTTCCCAGCTGAAAGCAAAACATCTCTCTGTTCTCTGCTGCTAATGAATTGCTAACCAGGAGTTTATGGGAAAGATCCTCCTCATTTTAGGAATATTTCTTTATAACAAATACAACCATCTGATAAACTGTTACACATGGAGAAGAAAAAAACGTACTCATCATCCCACTAAGTCAGCATTTTCGTTTCCTTTCTGTTTTTTTCTCCCTACACCTGTTTTTAATAGTACTTTGTTTTTAAACAAAAATAGCCCATGCTTAGTGTACAAATTTAAACAATTACAAAGTATAGTGTAAAAATTAATAAAATCCTGCTATTCCTTTCAATTCTATACTTCCAGAGGTAATCAGTGTTAAAGTAAGTGTGTATTTTTCAACACCCATCTTCTATTCTTTTAGGAATAAATACATACAAACACAATTCATGAATATGTATATATATGTTTGAATATATATAAATATGTTCAAACATACATATATGTGTATATAGACACACAAACAAATCTCTTTTAATTCCTTCCTTCTTTTGTTCCTTTGTTCATTCCTTCTTTCTTTCTCCCCTCTCTTCCTCTCTCCCTCTCTCCCTTCTTTTCTTCTTGGTTCACAATACATTCATAATACACTCTTTTCACTTAATGTACTATTGACATTCCTTGAAGTTAATAGTATGCAATCTTGGTTGTTCATTGGAATCACTAAGGAGCTTTAAAAGTAATGATGGGTCCAACCCCCAAGGATTCCAATTAATTGTCTGGAGTGAGACCTGGGCAGCAAAATTTATAAAACCTCCCTAGGTGGTTCTAATGTGCAGCCACACTGAGAACTTCTTCTTTAAGTCAATATGTATAGATCCAACTCATTCCTATTAATGCTAAGTAGTATTCCATATTCTGGCTGTACTAAAATTTATTTACCTATTCCTCTGTTGATAAACATTCAGTTTATGTTTAGTAACTTGTTTGATAAAAATGCATCAATAAACATGTATCCTTAGTTATTGGTTCCTTTGTTTCTATGAATACAGTCCTACAAGTGGGATTCCTGGGTTAGGGGTATGGGCATTTAAAATTTGATAGGTACTGCCAGATTATTTCCCATAAAGGTCTTTCTTAATGCCTACTTCCAGAAGCAGTCTATGAAGAACGTCCAGTTCCTTACACCTTTGCCAATCTAAGGAGAGACAAAAAGTGTTTGGTTGTTTTTTTGTCCTACTAGTAAAGTTGAGCATCTTTTTTTTTCACATTTATTTGTCATTTGCATTTCTTTTTCTATGACTTGCCTATTCATATTTTTTGCCCATTTTTAATTGTGTTGTTTGTCTTTTCTTCTCAAATTTTAAGAGATCTTTGAATAAGAATATTATCCTTTTTTGGTCATATGTGTTACATCTTCTTCTTCTCTACTATTTTTATTTGATAATTTATATGACACTATATATATTTTAAATTGTTGAGAATGTACAAATAAATTTTATTTCACTTTTTAATTCATCATACAATTTCAATCTTTTGTCATAATGGTAATCCTTTATTACTACCATTCCTAATGGCTACGTGCAAGTCGATTCAAGTTCCACTATATTCATTCAAGCTTCAAAAAAAAGTCCCATGACTATTATTTTAAATAATACTGTAATTAATATTTTCTTGCATTTAGCTTGTTCCATAGTTCGGATATTTGGAAGATTCCTACAAGTGAAATAATTGGATCAAGAATATAAATATTTTTTATGATTTGTGGTAATTATTTCCTAAACTCTGATATAGTTTTTGGCCAGCTAATCAGTATATAAAATTAGAGGTAATATAACTTTAGTGTTTATATGATAATATTTCCTAGGGGACATCATATTATAGAATTAAAAAAATTAAGATTCTTAAGTCACTCATTAGCTCTATGGTGAAGTAAGGATTGGATTCTTTTCCAGCTTACCTAAGAAGTTAGGTTCAGTTGAAATAAAAATATTTTTTGCATACCTACTGTATGCAAGAAACTATATATGGCTATTGCTTTTTAGGAAAATTTCAATTTAATGAGGAGTAAAAACAAATATCTTATTTTACTTTCTTTTACAGTTAAGTACCGTAAAAGAAGCATGAAAGGGAAAAGATAGGACTTGATTGCCTCAGGAAAGTGTTCTTAAAGGTGCTGCTCTTGGAGATAATCTTGGAGGATGAATAGTATTCTAATAGTCAGCAATGAGGTGAAGAGAGTACACTTGAGTAGAAGGTATGTTTTCTGAGCAGAGGGGACAGAATAAATAAAGACAAAGATTTTTCAAAGTGAGTGGGTAGAGGTAGCATGGATGGAGAGAAGAACTCATAAGGAAAAAAGGAGATGCCATCTTGGAAAAATAAAAGTACAGCGGACTTTTGCAGGTTTTGAAGGTACATTTAATTTGATAGAAAGAGTGAAATACTGAACAATTTTAGCAGGAGTTGTATTTTGGAATATTAATTTGATGTTATCAGTAAATTAGACTGAAAGGAAAACAGCCAGTTGACTAGTGGCTAAGGGTTTTGGGCAACTTATTTATTCTTGTGAGGCTCACATCTCACCTTCAAGACAAGAACGTTAATGCGTATGCCATGGTGTGGTTGTGGTTAGATAAAATGGTGAGCATAAAGTGTCTGGCATGACTTCTGATGCATAGTGGGTATACTGTCACAATTGTTATTAAATTAGTCTTATATTCTATATACCCTGATAATAAATAAGCAATTCAGACAGAAATGAAGAGTCACTTCAACTAGTTCCATTCCTATAATATTAAAGCTAAATTAGCTTTCATTCTTTTCCCCTCCAAGGTCCTTTGGAAAGCTCATTGGATGTACGCTCTAAACCAAACAAGAGTGACTGAGTTTGTCTTCTTGGGACTCTCTGATAACTGGATGCTGGAAATACTATTTTTCACGGCATTCTCAGTCACATATGTGCTAACCCTTTTGGGGAACATTCTCATCCTGGTTACCATAGTCTTTACTCCACGTCTCCATACCCCCATGTATTTCTTCCTGAGCAATCTGTCCTTTATTGACATCTGCCACTCATCTGTCACCGTGCCCAAGATGCTAGAAGGTTTGCTTTTAGAGAAAAAGACCATTTCCTTCGACAACTGCATTGCGCAGCTCTTCTTCCTACATCTGTTTGCTTGTGCTGAGATCTTTCTCCTGACCATTATGGCCTATGATCGTTATGTAGCCATCTGCACCCCATTACACTACCCCAATGTGATGAACATGAGGGTCTGCGTACAGCTTGTTTTTGCTCTCTGGTTGGGGGGTACAGTTCACTCACTGGTGCAGACTTTCCTGACCACACGTCTACCTTACTGTGGCCCCAACATTATTGATAGCTATTTCTGTGATATACCTCCTGTCATCAAGCTGGCCTGCACAGATACATACCTCACAGGAATGCTGATTGTGTCCAATAGTGGAACCATCTCCCTCACTTGTTTCCTGGCTTTGATCGCCTCCTACATGGTCATCCTGGTTTCTCTTAGAAAACAGTCAGCTGAAGGGCGCCGGAAAGCCCTGTCTACCTGCTCAGCCCACTTCATGGTGGTTGCCCTCTTCTTTGGACCTTGTATTTTCATCTACACTCGGCCAGATACCAGCTTCTCCATTGACAAGGTGGTGTCTGTCTTCTACACGGTGGTCACCCCTTTGCTGAATCCCCTCATTTACACCCTGAGGAATGAAGAGGTAAAATGTGCCATGAAGCAGCTCAGACGGAGACAAGTTTTTTCATGAAATTATGTACATGATGGGTTTAGGTTTGCAGATATAATTATGGCCATACCTTTAATGAGAGAGCAAAAGTAAAGAATCAAAATCGTTAGATGAAATGGCGTGGAAAAGGGCAGACGTTTGCATTAAAGAGATGGACTTATTAACTATTACTTAAATAAAGGAAAAAACCATGGTGGAACACGTAAGTGGAAAAAGAATCTGGAAAAGTTTAAAGAAGCCTTCTGGTTTCACCAGTAAAAACACGATTTGGGGCACAGACTCGTTTTCAGGAACAGGTAGTGGTGTGAGAACATACTTTCTTGATTTGTACTGTTCCATGGGTTATTGCCTCTGGGAAGCTGCACCTCGCACCTGTGTTTGACACTATAGTGGTTTCAATCTTACTCTCAAATATATTTTCAAGGTGTTTATTTAAACCTTTACTTATTTATATTGAATTAAATTTTGTTATTTTTGAAAGTGAGTCCCTCATCATTTGTAGATCTATTTTGTACTTTTCATAGTACTTTTATTTGGATGAAATTTTTGGAGATGTATAAGGAACTTAAACTTTGAGGTAAAATTTAATTACATAAAATACACCCATTTTAATTGTAAAGTTTGACAAGTTTTGACAAAGGCATATATACACCCATGTAACCATCTCTCCAATTAAGATATAGAACATTTCCATCATACCAAGCAGTTTCTTTGGCCCCTTCCCAGCCAATCCCTCTACCTCCATCCAAGCATTGAAGGATCTGATTGTTGTCACTACAAATTAGATTTGTCTTTTCTAGAGTTTCATAAAAATTGAATCATATGGATGTACTTTTCTGCGCCTGACCTTTTTTGCTCCACATGCTGTTTTTGAGATCAATCCATGTCTTTGTGGGTCTCAGCAATTTGCTCCTCTTTACTATTGAATAATATTTTACTCTGTGGGTATCCCACAATTTGTTTATTCATTCATGAATTGATGGACATTTGGGTGTTTCCAGTTGTTGACAATTATGAATAAAGTAGCTATACACATTTATTTGTGGGTTATTTTGGGCATGTTTTCATTTCTCTCAGGTAAATAGTTAGGAGTAGTGTTATTGGATCACATGGTGAGTGTCTGTTGAACTTTGCAAGAAACGGCAAGACTGTTTTGCAAAGTGGTTGTAGGATTTTATGTTTTCATCAGAGATAAAAGAGTTTAACAACCAACAATTGGTATTGTCAGTCTGTAATTTTAGGCATTCTAGCCAATATGTAGTTTTAATCTTCGTTTCCCTAATGACTGATAATGCTGAGCATCTTTTCGTTTGCTTATTATTCTTCCATATATCTTGCTTTGTGATGTGTCTGTTCGACTATTTTGCTCATTTATTATTATTTTTTGTCTTCTTGTCACTGTTTTGTAAGCATTCTTTGTATTTTCTGGTTACAAGGCTTTTGTTGGATGTATGTGTTGCCAATATTTTTTCTCACTCTCTGGCTTGCAGTTTTATTTCCTGAATGATGTATTTTTTTTTTTAAAGATTTTATTTTTTCCTTTTTCTCCCCAAAGCCCCCCGGTACATAGTTGTTTATTCTTCGTTGTGGGTTCTTCTAGTTGTGGCATGTGGGACGCTGCCTCAGCGTGGTCTGATGAGCAGTGTCATGTCCGCGCCCAGGATTTGAACTGACGAAACACTGGGCCGCCTGCTGCGGAGCGCGCGAACTAAACCACTCGGCCACGGGGCCAGCCCCCTGAATGATGTATTTTGAAGAGCAGAAGTTTACATTTTTATTAAGTCCAATTTATCAATTTTTTACATTTAGACTTGATGCTTTTCATGCCTTAAGAAATTTTTGCCTATCCCAAACTCTCAAAGATTTTCCCCTGTTTTCTTCTAGAAATTTTATAGCATCTGCTTTAAATTTTAGGTTTGTGATCCATTTTGAGTTTACTTTTGATGTATGGTATGAGATAAAGGTCGAGATTCATTTTCCCACAGATCTAGTTGATCCAGCATCATTTGAAGACTGTTCTGTCTCCATTGAGTTATGTTGGCACATTTGTTGAAAGTCAGTTGGCTTTTTAAGTGTGAGTTTATTTTCAGATTTTTTATTCTGTTCCATGGCCCTATATGAATTCTGGACTTACTGAATACATGAACATAATAAAAAGATCGTTGTTTATCCCACTGAGTTAAAGTTAGTTTAGTACATAGCAATAGTAACCTGAACAGAGGACATCCGGGCCTGAAATCTTCTTTGTAGGAAAGTTTTAAATTATAAATTAAATTTCTTTAACAAATACAGGGTTACTTGTATCTTCTGTTTCTTCTTGTGTCAGCTATGGAAATTTGTGTTGATCCATGAATTTGTCATTAATGCTAACTTTTTTTGTTGTATAAATGATAGTGCCATTAATTGAAATTGGAAAGACTAAGGGAGAAGGTTTTTTTTAGACTGGGGATTAAAAGAGCTGTTTTGGTCATGCTGCATTTGAGATTCCTACTAGACATCCAAGTAGAGATAATAGATGAGTCTGGAATTTGGGACAGAGGTCATGTCTGGAGATGCAAATTTGTGGGATTAATAGTATAAAATAGAGAGTATTTAAAGTCACGGGACTGGATGAGATCATTAAGGAAACAGTACATATAAAGAAGAAGACGAAGGGATGAAGCCTGAGGCAAACTTTTGAGGCATGCTTTTAATCTTTTTTAGGATGGGTGGGTGTAGAGTCTCTTTTGCTCCAAAGTGACTTTAGTCTTACTCCTAAAATGCGGCTTTTGGGGTCTCTACTGAGTTCTTTGCATGTTCAATGACGTCTGTCCATCCTAGCTGGTAGTAATACAAGTTTTCCTAACCCTGTGCAAGCTCTGGTAGTTTTTTAGTATATAACTCCCTGGTGTCTGTTCTCAACTCCTATGCATGCATAGCTTATCATTTAACCAAGACTCAAGGAAACCCCTTTGCAGTTTTCTCAATCATTTTCTCACCATAGCTCACTTCTTTCTGGTACTCTGCCCAGCAAATTTTAACCATCTCAGTTTCCCTGATCACTGTCTCCTTAATTCAGCAAAATCTCTATGCTCCTCTTGAGTTCTAAATCTCTGAACCAAGGCTGGAATATGCTTCCAGGTAGAAAGTCAGGACTTACCTCATTTCTTTCCCCTTGGCAATCACAGTCCTGAGTTGCTTGTTATCCAATGTCTGAAAATTGCTGTTTTATACATTTTATCTAGTTTCCTATTTTTTATGGTGGGAGGATTAGTCCAGTTCCATTTACCACATTATAGCTAAACTTTTAAACAATTAAAAATAATTAATAATCTATGGGTTAACTAGTTAAACCTTTAAGAACATTTTAAGGGTGACAGAATATAAGTAAATTTGGGATATTGTATGTGGCCGACAACTTCTTAGATGGTTCCTGATGATCGTGTCTCCTGGTATTCATGCCCTTGTGTAGCCCCCTTTACTTGGTTTGAGTAGCACCTATGACTTGCTTCTGACCGGTAGAATATGGTAAAGGTGATAGGATGTCACTTCCAGGATTAGGTTAGATATGATGGTAACTTTTATCTTGTTACCTGACCCTCTCTTTGGAAAAGGAAAGAAAATGGATTCTCCCCACAGCATTCAGAAAAGAATGCAGCCAAACTCTCAGCTATAAGATCAATAAGTTCCGGGGATCTAATGTATGACTATAGTTAATACTACTTTTATACTTGAAAGTTGCTAAGGCAGTAGATCTTAAGTGTCCTTATCACACACACACATAAATGGTAACTATATGATGTGAATGATGTGTTAATTAGTTTGTGGTAATCACTTCATAACGTATACACGTATCATCAAGTCATCACATGGTACACTTTAAATGTATACAATTTTTGTCAATTGTACCTTAATAAAACTGGGGGAAAAAAGAACAAAGAAATAATATAGCTCTGTTGATCCCTTGATTTTAGCCCAAGGAGATTCATGTTGAAATTCTAACCTACAGAACTGCAAAGAGGGCTGGCCCTGGGGCCGAGTGGTTAAGTTCATGCACTCCACTTTGGCGGCCCTGGTTCACTGGTTTGGATCCTGGACACAGACCTAGCACCACTCTTCAAGCCATGCTGAGGTGGTGTCTCACATAGCAGAACTAGAAGGACCTACAACTAGAATATACAACTATGTGCTGGGGGCCTTTGGGAGGAGAAAAAAAAGAAATAAAAAAAAAGATTGGCAACAGATGTTAGCTCAGGCCCAATCTTAAAAAAAACTGTAAAGAGAATAAATTTATGTGTTTTTTTTAAAAGATTTTATTTTTCCTTTTTCTCCCCAAAGCCCTCCAGTACATAGTCGTATATCTTAAGTTGTGGGTTCTTCTAGCTGTGGCATGTGGGATGCCACCTCAGCGTGGCCTAGCGAGCAGTGCCATGTCTGCACCCAGGATCTGAACCAGCGAAACCCTAGGCTGCAGAAGCAGAGCGTGTGAACTTTACCACTCGGCCATGGCACCAGCCCCAAATTTATGTTGTTTTAAGCTTCTACGTTTGTGGTAAGTTGTTATAGCAGCAATAGAAAATTAATACTGATTTGTTTATATTGGGTTTTTTTCCCCAATAAAGGAAACAATACACCACTATGAAAAAACTACAAATCTCTGCTGACAAAACTTGAAGAGATAGAGATGCATACATGTTCCTGCACAGGAAAAAACAATAGTCAATATAATGGGCCTTCTTAAATTTATTTGTAAATTTAATGTACTTATAAAAATCCCACATTTTTAAGGTAAAATTTCCAATAATATTCTAAAGTTTATTTGAAGAAATAAACAGGTGAAAATAGTTAAGAGTGTGTGGACTTACGTAACTTCAGAGCTGGTGATTTTGTGAATTAACTAGGATCACTCTTTGGCTTGAGGTATATCAGTTTATTGTGGAATGGGCAAGTCCATAACAGGGAGACTCCACGACAAATTCCTTAGGTAAAGAGGATGATGATATACTGTGACCAAAGGGAGCAGGATTAGAGGATCCTATAGATGGTCATTGAACAGCCATATAAAATAGTTGTATCAATTTTAATGGAGCTAATGGAATGAAATAGAGTATACTTAATACTAAAACTATATCTAATATTTCTTTGCTTATTTTGAAAGGAATTTAGAATTGATTGGGGCCTTTGGTAGAACTATTCTACCAAGTTCTGTTAACTTTCAGAAATAATGCTCATCAGTATTCGAGAGAATTGGGTGCCAGACGATATGGACATCCACATCCACAATACAGAGTAACTGACTCACTGACTCTGGCTAAACGGTAAGAAACGATTGAAATGACGGAAAGTACTCAAAAGGACAAAGAATCAAAGGCAGTTTATTAAATAAACTGGGAGATGCTCATGAAAATATCTAAACATCATTACTTGCAAATTGACAAACAAATGTAACATATTGTCAATATTCTACAATTTTCATATAAAACCCAAGTGAAAATCAGAGTTTTATATATTTATGAGGAAATGAGACCCAGGTATCACTACTATACACACTTGAAAAACTCAGAAAAATGATCTAATTATGCCTCTAAATTCTGGATTTGTATATGCCCAGATTTTTATACATATTAGTAATTTTTATGCAGAAATAAATTCTTAATGCCCTATTTACTTATTTGTATTATGGCAATATTAGTTACTCTATTGCACAAAAGTTGGTTGTAGTGTGAGGAATTCAACTGTTGAATACAAAGTTGCTGAACAAATTTCTATATCAATAGGTAATGATCCCTATCTTCCTTTCAAAGAAAGTAAACCACAGAATGGAGTCAAGATATTTTCATTTTATTCTTTACTCTTCTATTTATTCAGTAACTAAACACATTTTATCCTATTGCTGCCTAAAAAGTTTTTTCTGTGAAATTAAGAATGAATGTTTACTTTACCTCCCCAGAGAGTTGTGAGGATTAATGCGACTGAAACAGGTAGTATTAGAAATTTTGCTTGAAAGTATAAAACAAACAAATAAACAAATGTGACATTGTTGTTCTGTTGTAGTTTTACCATGAAGCATCCTCTTCTCTATCACATTGCATGTGCTCCTCTGTGCGGCTCATTCCTGCTCAAGACGGTTCTACTTGGGCTCTTTTATAGGCTATATCTCCTTATTGTCTGCCATTGCCTATAACAAAAGCATTTCCTTTATACAAATTCTATAATTCTCAAATTCAGTTCCGTTATTCCACCAATGAATGTACAGTTCAGTGAATTTAGTCTTATACTATGCAGAGTGTTATCTTTGGGAAAGAAACTACTCTATTAACTATTAGATTTGTCTGTTGGAGGTTAACTTTCCTACCCAGAAACCCTACGTGATGCTTTCATAACCATGCCTCTGTATAACTGAAATGGCTTGCATGGTTTGAATTTCCTTCCCAACACATTTCCTAGCAAAAATGCCATAAAAAATATGAGCTGGGTCTTCTGAACCATAGCTTTATCGATAATATCCTCACTGATTGCCTGGGAAATCACTAGCTGCATTTAAGCATGGCCTTCTTTCTTGTGGAGTCAGAGTGAACTGTCGGTCCTCAACAAGTCAGGCTTCTTGGATGTAGTTATATGAGACACTGTTGCCTGGAATATCCTCTTCATCTCCCGTTTTCCCAGTCCACTCAGGATTCACCACTCTTAGAGTGCTTATCACAGTGATACAATGTGTGTCAGGGCAACTAGGTTGAAGATACTGGATTATAGACAATGTGTTGTTCAACTTGGTATTTTCTCCCAGCAATTAATGCAATATTGAGTGGCCATTAAGTGTTTAGTAATGCATGCTCACTTGAATGAATTCACTACATAATAATTAGAATAATTTCCTTAAAACACGTGATATCATGCCATTTCTATGCCTAAACCCTTCTTCACAGTGTACTGAAAAAGATTCTATACTCCTTGAGAGGACATAAAAGTATTCTTTTTAGTTCTCCAGTATCATCTGTCACCATTCTCTGCCTCACAGTCTAAGCTGTAACCACATTGGTCTTTCACTTCTTGGAAAAAGCCAAGGTCTTTCCTAACTTAGGTCTTTTCATCTGCCATTTTCTGTGTCTAGAGTGTTCATTACCTCTCTTTTCTCATGATTGGCTCCTTTTCATCTTTCACATCTTAGCTTAAGTGTCATTTCCTCAGAGAAGTTCTCCTTGACTACCCAATCTAAAGACAGTCTCTTCTACAACTCTCTAACAGCTTTCCACTGTGTTCTTTCACAGCATTCGTCATGATCTGTAATTAAAATTTATTTGCTTATATTTTTGTTCTCTATTTGTTTTCTATTTTCACTAGACCCTAAATGACATGAAGGGGGTACTATATGTATGTTTTGTTTATGACTATTAACCCAATACTTAGCCCATAATAGTTGCTCAGTAAATATTTGTCAAATGAATGAATACTAAGACATCTCCATTTCATTGCTCTGATGGCAGATTGTTCTGGACACTTGAAGATATCAATAACTTCAGTGGTTTGAAGTCTTCTTTCTAGGTCACCAAAGTCATATGCAAACTCACTTTGTCTTACCAGTGTTTGCTAAGCTATTTAGGCAAGTGTCTGACTGAATGATGTAGGCAAATGATGCCCAGAAATCTGAAGGTTTGTTTAGACCTTGGTTATCACCAGAAGACAAAAACAGCGAGAGGCAGATGGTGTATTGAAAGCAACATGAGGTTGGGTTGATACACTTGGCTTAACACTCTGTCTTCATTATTTCCTAGTCTGGTGACCTTGGGCATGCTATTTGCTTTCTTTGAGTTTTGGTTTTGTCCTGTGTAAACAAGCATAATACCTACCTCATAGGTTCTTGTGAGAATTAAGTAAATGCAAAGTGCCTAGAATGGTTCCCAGAATATGGAAGATATTAAATATCATAGCTATTGCTGTGGTTGCCAGATATTTGGCCAGAAGATAATTTTATAAGTCATAGAGGCTGATAGATATGTTACATAACTTATTCTTTGCAAGACATTTCTTTGATTTGGAGCACCAAGCATCTTAAGGGCTTAGACATTTTCATTGTTTTTCTTTCCCCTCCATCCTCCCCATTAACTTGTTTAAGGCATTCTTCATGTCTTCATTCCTAAGGGTATAGATGATGGGGTTCAGCAGGGGGGTGACAGCAGTGAAAAACACAGACACTATCTTGTCCTCGGGGAGGCTGGTGGATGGACGGGAATAGATGAAAATGCAGTGTCCCAGAAAGAGTGTGACTACAGTGAGGTGGGCTGCACAGGTGGATAGGGCCTTCCGCCTGCCTTCGGAGATCTGCTGCCTCAGACTCACCAGGATGACTGCGTAGGACACCACAAGGACCACAAAACAGACCACTGAGATCAGCCCACTGTTGGAGATGATGAGGATCTCAATGATGTGGGTATCAGTGCAGGCCAGTTTGATCACCTGTGGTACATCGCAGAAGAAGTTGTCAATCTCATCAGGACCACAGTAGGGCAGCTTGATGGTGAGGGAGGTCAGGGCTATGGAGTGGATGGTCCCCCCTGTCCAAAGGGCCACAGCCAGCAGCACACATACTTTCCAGTTCATCACAGTCATGTACTGCAGGGGTTTGCAAATGGCCACATACCGATCATAGGCCATGACAGTGAGGAGAAAGATCTCTGTGCAGGCAAAGAGGTGCAGGAAGAACATCTGAGTCACACAGATATCAAAGGAGATGAGCTTCTCCTCTGACCAGGTGTCTATCAGCATCTTGGGGACAGTGACAGTGGAGTGGCAGACATCGATAAAGGACAGGTTACTGAGGAAGAAATACATGGGTGTATGGAGCCGGTGGTCATAGATAACAGTTATGACAATGAGGATGTTCCCAATCAGTGTGAAGACATAGAAAATGAGGAACATGGCAAATCCAGCTATCTGCACCTTCTGATTTACAGATAAACCTCCAAGTCGAAAATACGTCAGTAAAGTAGTTTGATTGCATAGGCTAGCCTCTTCCATTCTTTTTGTTGGACACTCCTGTCAAGAATTAGAAAAAAAAAATAACACTTAGCATCTGCATCAATCATTTGGTTACTTAATTTGTTCTGTGTTTATAACTTTTTTACCCATCTAGAATTTATAGTGAAATATCTTATTTTAAAGTCCCCAGTCAGCATCTTAAATCATGCTGGACACGTAGAAGGTGCTAAACACACTGTCGGGATAGTAGGACAGAGAATCCTGATTCACTGAGAGATATAAAACCACCTTGGATAGGGAGGGACCAATCCAGTTATTTCTCCCTTATAGTAGTAAGATATTAGTGCTTGGATTTAGGTTATAGAGTTTTACAGGAGAAGAAATTAAGATTCCCCTTACTCCAGATAAGTAATTTGTCCAAGATCACACAAATCCTGGCCCTGAACACAGTTTTCTTTATTGTCTTGTTGACTGTATTTTTCACTAACCAGACTACTTGCTCTCCTGTTACCTCTGCCAAGATGCCCTGAGACTATAATTTTAATAATCTACTTCTCAGAAGGCAAAGACTTTTCACCAAGCTGCTGGGCAACCGGGAATGTGGCTGTGATGTTTTTTGAACAATTCTTTGGAGGAGGCAGGATAAAAGCCTGGAGGCTTAGAAAATCCAGAGATTTGGAGAGGGTGAGGGGAGGCTTGCTTCTCCTCCACCGCTCAGATGAGGGCAGACTTGTTGGAGGTCAATGTCAAGGTCTAATAGTATCACTGTCTCGACTAGATTATCCTCAGCTCTTTTTAAAGTCTAAATCTGTTATCTGACTTACTGGCTGACAAGTAAAACAAAAGCAGTCATTTTATGTTCTTTTAAAATAGCCTACCTTTGACTCAGCCTCATTATTTTTAATGTATATATTATTTAGAGTCACAAGATCTTAGCCCGTAAAGGGATCTGAGAATTTACCTACTTTTTTTTTTTTTCATTTTACAAATAGAGAGAATGAGGCACAGAGAGGTAAAGCAACTGGTCCAAGTTCATAGAGAAGTGGAATAATAGCGGGGTCTAGAGCTCAGGTCTCCTGACTCTTGGTTTGTACTTCTCTACTCCACCACCGCTCTGATCTGAATTTTGGTGGTAGTTGGCATGATTGGGGCGTTAAGTAGGATGTGTCTCAGTGGCCTTCCTCTTCCTCTCCTCGGTGTCCTGGGCCAGCTTGAGTGGGCATCTGTGGGGAGCCTCTCTTCTCTAGCTTGGCTCCTTCATCTGCTGCCCTGATGCACAGCCTTCCAGGGGTGGCCCACCCAAGCGCGCGGCCCCTCTTGGTTCCTTGGGCCCGATCATCCTGTGCTACCTTCTTCGTGTGATTGATCACGACTGGTACTTTATATCATCCCTCAAGATCAGGCTTTCTGCGAGACAAATGAATCAAATCCACATGGCCTATGAAAAAAGACTAGAAGAAGCTTTTCTCTCTGCTCCTAGTTCTCTCTTCCTTCTCAAATATTTCCTATATCTCATCATGCTGGTCTTCTGCAGACAATGGCCCATTTTGTCATCTATATCAGAGGAACGATTAATGGTAGTGTCAAATCAGGGAACTGACAAAGTAGATCTGTGACAAATAAGGTATTCAGGGGGCAGAAGAAGTCTTTCAGTTAACACTAAATTAAACTCTCCGCATCTAGTGCTTGGATTAATATTTATAGTAACATCTTACTGTAGTTATGGATTAATTTTACTATTTATAATTTTTATTAGAGTGTTTACTTAAAACTTTTGCTCCAGAGAAAGAACTATTTTAAATGTTTAATGATTTACACCTGTTATCTTTTTAATTTATTAAGTTCTAAAAGGACGATTGCAAAATTGAAAACTAAAGAACTAACCAAGTTTGGAGCCAGGGGTTCATCTTAAATTCAACGTGGAAAATGTCGCCTGCACGGATGGAGAAGGTGCGCCGACTGAGAACGGTGTCTGAAATGAAGACTTCTGTTCCACATCATCATTTTTTTCTATCTCTGTGGAGCCGCGAGAAAAAATGCTTTGAAAAATGGAGATCTGTCCAACTACAGTAAAACTTTGTTGTTAGTTTATGTCAAGAATAGCGTGCACAAAAAGAAAATCTAGTGTCTACTGCATACACTTCAGAAAAACGAGAGGAAACAGTTAAGAGTAGAAACAGAATAAAACTAAAATGTCTATAAAACTTACCTTGGGTTGTTTCTGATGCTCCCAGCACCTCCAAAGAGAACTGAATTGTCACAGTCTTGAGTTTAAACATCAAGAGTATTTTTCCCAGTAGAAAGAACAATTTATTTGAAGTTGGCCAAGTCCAATAACCCCATTAGCTTGATTTTTCCATAAGGAAGTTCAGAGCCTTGAAGTTCCTTTGGGTCTTGTTCACAGTTTTTGGTAATAAGTCACAGTAGATGTATCTGGTGATATTTTACCAGAAGTTCTTCAGAATTTCTGCAAAAATCACACCTTTTAACCTATATTATTGTCGTATTTTTCAATATGTAGAAGATGTAACTTTGCACTGAGATTTTCCAGAATTGCTTTCCAGTCAGCTGAAGATGTGTTATGGGAATGGCGTATTTTTTGCACTTTTTCAGACTGCAGTGATTAAAAGCCACTATCAACCACTTTTGCAGGCCATACTAGTTTACCAGGACCACTTCTGTCAGAAACCTTGACCTAATTACTCAGAACCAGTGTCACTGAAGCATCCTGTTTTCTTCGCAGCATGATCTCTAGAAATAAGCTTTGTGTTGCTAGTTTCAGATGGATGATTCCCCCTTCAAGTACTGAAGGGGGATCTGTAGAGGAAGAAAGCAGCTGGGGCTGGCAGCTGCAGCACTGATGTTTTTCCACCTGAATTATATAGGCTTTACATCCTTGGGAACTTTTAAACAATGACATCAGCTTGCCCTAGTCACTAGTTAGGAAAAGTCAATTCTGTGGGGACTGAAATTACAGACTGCAATTTTCACGAAGGGAATTTAATGAGAAATCAGGAATTCAACATCTAAGTCTTTAGGACGTGTTTATCTATGATTAAATGAACTACTATTTAGTGATTGCTTACTATATGCTAAGTATTAGGTGAGGAGTTTTCATGTTTTCTGATTTCGTCCATATAAAAACACACCGATGGGGTGGGCAATGGAATTAAGATTTTAATCAGCTCTGCCAGAGAGGTCAGGTGTTTGGACCCTAGGGTCAGATTGTCTTAGTGCAAATTCCAATGTCCTAGATGTATAAATTTGGGCAAGTTATTTAACCTCTCTGGGCCTCAATTTTCTCATCCATAAAACATGAATAACAACGGTAAAATGTTTTTAGAACTCTTGAAATGTTTGCAAAGCATGTGGCACTTAGCAAATGTGTTGTCTATATTAATATAGTTATGCAATATGCATTTCAAACAAACAAACAAAGAAGACACCACCAACTACCAGCCAATTTTTTGGCCATCACTTATTCATTACTTTGGATAACAGAAAATTTAGAGTCTTGCTCTAATTCCCCTTTTGCTTTCTCTGTTTAGATATCTGAGCTTGGTGGTTTAAGTTGGCGAATGAAGAATCCAAAGGAGAAGGATGAAGATTATACATTGAGTTTGAATTGCAAGATTGAATAGTTTGTGGGATGGTTAGGATATATGCACTAAAAGGTATGGAGCTAGAGGTAAGCCTTATAGCCAACTCTCCATGCAACAGTGTGTAGAAGAGATGATGGCAACAGAGGGACAGTATCAGAAGTTACCAAAAATTCTTACTCCTAAAGACTTGTGGCTTGGGCTCCTTTCCCCCAGTTTTCTTGTTGAATTCATTATCATTGATCAGGCCGGACTTGACTGCATTGAAAAACTTGGAGCTTCCAGAACTTACAGATGTTGCTACTTGGCCAACATGGGGCTTGTATTGTTACTTTGGCAATTAGGGTACGCATTAGGAAGCGGGATGTGTTGACCACACTAATTCTTGGTACTTTTGGAATTGAGATACTTTATCATAGGCATAATATACCAAGGGCAATATAGAAAATGATGTTCAATTGAGTATAGGTCAATGACTATCACCGCTGTCATTAGTAAAATATAAGGATGAGAAATTAATCTTTGACCTCCTGTATTACAGTTTCTGTACTTTCGCCTTCCTCTTGGTAGCCCTCTCTCCCTGGCCCACTACTTTCCTCCCTGACTGCACACAGACTGCCACTTATGTGCCCCACGCAAGCTTTTCCTCCCTGAAAGTCTCTCATCTCCAAAATTGTGTGTTCCTATTTCCTCCACAGAATAAATGAAAACAATTGTTCACACTTGCATAGCACTTTAAAGTTTGCAAACCTCTTACACACGCATTATTTTGTTTGATCTTTACAACACCCCTGTGAGGTAGTGAGCATTAAAGAAAAATTGCACTTAGTGTTAAGCGATTTTTCAGATAGTTTACATTTCAGCGAAGCACCTGAACCAGGTTGAACTCAGGTCTGCTGCTGCTTACTTACTCTGTTGCTTCACTTGGAGGCTGCACTTCACAGGGGAGCAGTGGCTTCAAGGGGGGACTGACTGGTTGGCCTCACCTCCTATGGGGGATGCACACTTAAAAAGGGTTGCTTCTTAAATTACATAAAAATTTTTCATCCATGTAGGGGAGAGATAGCTTTTTGGTCCTCTTTGATCCTACTGACTGACTCTTTCCTTCTTCCCGTTCTATTCTTTCCATTCTGAAAAATCAGAGTGATGTGGTCTCCACTTTTGAAAGGTCATTGTCTCCCTGCTAAAAGCTGTCAATCAGCAGTCAATAACCCAGGGTGTGTACAATATCCTACTTAGTGTAGTATGAAATAAAGAGATCGAAAAGAGTAATGATTCTTTCCTATGAGGAATATGCAATATAGTGAATTAAGATAATTTTTATTTTAGAAATTTAAGAAAACCCCTTGAAAAAAACATTGGTGTGATGCCAGTAAATTCAGTGAGACTTAGTGTGACGTGACTTTCTGTCCCAGCCTTCACAGCAACAGAGCTTGCACGCTTCTAGTGAGACCATCATTCCACTCCTCACAACAAACTGTGCGGAAATCAGAACCCAAGAGGAAGCTACCAGTAGATCTCATCACCCACCCAGCCCCTCTCAAAAGAGACCAGCCAGTCTAATCTCATCAATCCCTGTCTGC